GCGGCAGCGGAGCAGGAAGGGCTCTGCTCGGCTCGGCTCAAGTAGCCCGGACCTCCTCTCCGCCGGCCCCCGGCCAAGCCGAGCGCGCCGGCAGCGGGAGCCTTGGCAGCCTCGCCCGGGAACGGCGCGGAGCCCGCTGACGTCAGCCTGCAGATGTGCCCCGGCCGCCGCCGCGCCCGGGGGGCCACCCGGGGTAACGAGGCGCAGCGCGGGGGCGGGGGGGGGCTCGTGCCGCTCGCCCGGCGGGGCGCGCTGAGGCGGCGCCCGAGCTAACGGCCGGCGAGGCGCGCGCGGAGCCCAACGGCCGCCCTAACGGCCTTTATTAAAAAAGAACTAAATAAAGTACACACACATATATGTATATGTGTACATTTCTAGGGAGAGCGCGTCGCTTTCGCTTTCACTTGCGGGCGCAGCCCCCTCTCCGGCGGGGCAGCCGGGTCCGCTTGGTGGGGTGGCGCGCTGGGGAGCGCGGCCCGGCGGGGAGCCCGAGCCACGCGCGCGCCGCTGCCAAGCTCATTTCCGACAGCCAAAAAGAGGAAAAAAAAAAAAAAAAGACCCTTCGTGCAGTGGCCTGGGGCTTCTGCTCGCTGTGTTCAGCCGGTGTCGTGTGTGTTTTCCTCCCCAGCCGGAGGTAGTAGGTGTAACTCTTCTGGTGAATCTATAAGAGCTGGCCGGGCTGCGGAGTGATTCAGGCAGGAAACATGCAAAAATACAGTTACTGCAGCTCTTCCTCGAGGGTGGAAGGGGAGAGCATCGGTCCGCAGAGCGGACAGTGCCCGGAATGGCTCTCCCGGCCCTTGGGTTTGGGCGCATGCCGTGTGAAAAGGTGGATGTCGGTCCTAGGGCCGGCATTTATTGTGCCAGATGAACATGCCGCCTGCCTCGTTTCTGAGGGTAAAGCGCTGCTGGAGCGGAATGAGATTTCTGCACATGCATTTGTGAGATTACTGTCAACAGCAGCTCCAGCCCAGTAAGCACGAGTCCCTGAAGAGCTGGTCACGCTCGTCATGAGCCGTGCTGAAACTTCGCTATAAAATGGGTATTACAACAAGCACTTACGTGTGAAGCCCTTTTTATGCGCTTTAGACAAATTAATAGTACGATCGTTCGGTAACTAACGGCAGAACCGCGCATCCAGCGCCGGAGCTCCTCGGGAGCGGTGGCATCCAGCAGGAGGGGGGTTCTCGGCTGGATCCAGGGAGGGGGATCCCAGCTGGATCCATGGGGCGAGGGTGATCGCAGCTGGATCCGGGAGGGGCGGGGATCCCAGCTGGATTCATACGGCGGGAGGGGGGCGGGAATCGCAGCTGGATCGATGCTCGTGCCGAGGGCGCCACCCCGCGGCGGGCGGCGGCGCCGGCGGGTGGTGCCCGCTCCTGTGGATGGATCCCGGGAGCCGCGGGTGCACCGGGGAGCGGGGTGCCGGTGGCGGTGTTAATACTGCGGAGTTCCTCCTCCCGATGCAGATTCATTTACAGGACGGTGGCGCTAATAAACGGCGCGCACGGAGCAAGCTCTGCAACAGGCTGGACGGGCTGGTGCTCCCTAGCCACTCTGCCTGTCTCCAGGGACAGGCATTGCCACCCTTTCTGCTCACCCTCTCCTTCAGCACAGCAGTAAGACGAGCTGGGGCACTGTCTGCTTCTGGAAGGACGGGTTGTGGAGACAGATTTACCACGGGGCTCTATTTACGCCCTGTTTTACACCAGGATGAGAAGAAAAAATAAATCTTTTGAGTAGACACCTACTATAGCAAATTGCCTCACGCTCATGGTGTTCCCATGGGAAGCGGGAGGCCTCAGATCAGGCTGCACCCAGCTCAGGAGCGCTCCGCTGCTGTCTGTCCGCCAGGTTCTGGCACGAGAGAGGGTGCCCGCCGTGCCTGGAGCTGCTCCATGCTGTATAGCTGATGCAGTGCTCACCAAGCTAAAAAGAAAGGCAGATTAGCACTGTCTGGTTGGGGCGCTCACATGAGTTCAGCTCCCTGCTCTAAATCAGGCAGGCGGGCTAGGACTTCAGCATGGGCTCTGCAGCTTGCTCAGACCAACAAGCTATTTATTCCCTGTCCCAGACATCTACTTTTTCTTGCCTACACCCACTGCTGGAGCTGAGAAAATGTTTCCAGTAACAGCTTTGTCAAAACTGGTATATTACCAGGAAATGCATTGGCTTTAGTTAAAAAATTCCCAATCAGCTGTAATTAGAATTTCTGTCAGAATTCCCAGTGCCATTTGACTCACCTTATTTGTTTATGCTTTGTTGTGTAAAATCATTTTTTTAAGGTGAATGTGGTGCAGATGCAAATAGTGAGCTTGGTGACTTGGATTTTTGCCTCAACAACCTGAGTAATAATTGCATGCTTTTTAATGATCTACAGCTTTTTAGGAACAAAGCTTGAACAGAAAATAGTATGCAAGCCCTTAGTATATAAATTTATCTTCACTGCAAATAGAAATCTTTATGAACTATGAAATAGCAAAGATAGTTATTCTACGATGAATTCTGATAACACTTAAAACCGTTTGGGCAGCAGTGCCATCAAAGGTCCTGGACAAGATTATAGATTTATGGAGCACAGAGTACATTAGCCCATGTCTTAAACCAGTTTTTGCTTGTCATGAAAGTAGTTTGCTAAATCTCTAAGCACTCTTGACTTTACTTTAAGCTTTCAAATCCTTTAGTCTGTCAGTCAACAACTGATAAGTTTGGCAACACCTTTTCCTTTAAATAAATATTTATATTAAGCTTCAGTTTAACATTGCTAGATATATTCAGAGGTATTTGGGGTTGATCCCAGGAATCTTGCTATTAACTGAAAAGAATACAGACGAGGGAGCTGGGAGTCCTTGGTGAGCAGGGTTCTTGCCTGCTCACCAAGATGAGAGGCCCTAATGGCCCAGTTGGACCTGCTGCTGGTGGAGACATTGGCAGCAGAGCTGCTGGTGTCTGGCTTGGGCCAGCCTGGATGTCCCAACAGCCCCTTGCAGATGCCCGGGCTACCCTGTGAATGGGCCCTGCAGCTCGCCCAGGTGCCCAGCACTTACTGATGTGGTGCCAGATGAAGAAAAACTGCTTGCTGAAATGCCTACTTATTACATATGCGTATATGCGTATTTATAATATGTAAGACATGGGTTGTCATATGTCATATTTCGCTGATAGAGAAAAAAACATTCAACTTCAGTGCAGTGGTAATTAGGTATGTGTAACACTGTGAAACTGTAAGTGCTCTTCTTCTTTTGAAAATACTATTGAAGGTTAGTCATAAAAATGCATGCCTCAAGTGAATTTTTAGATGATCTGTTATTTTAGGATGTCTCACTCTTTCTTACTGTCATGCAGCTTGTACTGAATTGGAAGAATTTATGCCCTGAACCATTTCTGATCTGGTAAATTCCATGTAAGGAATTAGAAATTCATCCTCTTACTCCTCCTCTGTCAGGGCTGGAAAACACTGGAGTCTGGTCTTCCGAATGCATAGACAATCTGACAGACATCCAGCTTGTTTGCTTGTCTCCTCACTATGACAACCTGCTACATCAAATTAGATTAAAAGATTTCTCTGGAGGAGGGCAGCATTCTGCGGCTGCTGCCTCTGGAGAGGCTAACAGGACAACAGTAACAACCTGTACGGCTTCCCCTTGCACTGAATTTCCAGGACCATGCAAATACGCTCACAAGCAGATGAGCTGTTATTGCCATTCAGGTTCCCTGATTTAGCAGTGTTCATAATCCAGAATATCTTTTTACTATTAACTTTGTCCAAGTAATTCTTGATGTGTGAAAAGAACTGTGTGGTATACTAAATATACCATCTAGTTGAAAAAATACTACCTAGTAACCTTACATTTACCTGTGTGAAGGAGAAATGCACTTGCTGTGCATAAGTGCTTCCTTTTTATCCCCCTGAACTACAAGGTTCTACAAGTGCCTGGAGGTAAGCAAAATTCAGAGCAGTGGACTTGGTTTCAAGTGTGGCCTCGAGGTTGCTGCCCAGCAAGTGGATATTGCTAAGAATATCTTCATTTAAATATGAAGAGCTGACCTGGATGAAGGGAGAGATTCCTTTTCTAGGATGCTCCCTTGCAGCAACTCCAAAGGGTGATGTTGATACTGGGCCTATCGTCATCTGAGCCTCCTTGTTGATTAAACTAAAAAGTATAGAAAAAATTATCTCAACTTTACACAAGAATAGTACTTAAGGGGAAAGAAGAAGTTGTTCAGACTGGAAAGTTGTCTTATTTTGACAACAGAGGTGTCTTTTTCTGCTTTGCCTCTTGCTGCCTTTCCAAGCAAGGGACAGATCCAGAAACAAGATTATATCAGTGGGCATAGCACCTTCCTTAAAGGAATCATTTCCCAGCTATAGGCATTCCGTGTTTTTCTATGTATACATATTCTTCTTTTGTTATTTTCATTTCCTGAGACGGCTGTTCAGTAAGAGCTGAACAATCTGTAAAATTTACGGAGAACAAAGTTGAGACAAATGCTACAATGTGTGGAAAACGTGTGTGGAAAATCTCTGTGGAAAATGATACTCCTCAAAGATTAGAATAGGCAGAAACATATATAAGCTACGCAGGAATTCTAAGCAAAGGTATAAGAATTCAGTTATTTTGATTTCAGAATGAAAAACCTGGAGTTAACTCCCAAGATGACTTGGCCATTGCCGCGCAGGGCAGTGCAGCGTTGGGGCATAT